TGGACAGTAAAAATCTTGTACAATCTCAAAATAACCCGGGACTTTGTCAAAACTTTGTTATTTTTGTTTTAGATTATAGTCAGGTAAAATGAGGCAATTTGATTGGTCAAATGAGGTAATCTAAGTAGCTTAGTTACCTCTTAATAACTTCTTAGATTACTTGTTAATAACCATTATTTATAATAATAAAATTGTAATTTTTATTGAATATTTACAGTCAAAATTAATTTGTGCAGTTACTGAATCAGTTACTGAAAGCATTTTTTTGTTTGTTTGTTTTTTTGTTTGTTGAGTATTTTGAGTGTTTGCTAATTTATTCAGCTGTGATGTCCTCTTGTAGCTTCTCACTCCATCGATGCTATGGTGACCAATGCGTTCCATATCAGTTGTTCGTCAACACCTTCTTTGTATAAATGCGGGTCGCTGCAGTTGCTTGTAAAGAATGATTAGTTTTGACTCCTTTTATTCCTCCCATTTTAAACATTGTTTTTTTCATCATTGTTTTGTTGTTTTGTTCATTCAAACATTGTTTTGTTCATTATAGCTAGATACCACACACCATGTGGTATAGAGTATTAGGAACATAAGTTCAGTGCCGTCTTTTTCCTCACTTCCAGGACAAACATTTCCATAGATTTTGCTAGCCTTCGCAACTGAGAGATATCATAGACGGAGTTTCATCAAGTTGTAGCTTCCATGCACCTACACCAAGTATTCCATTGGTTTATGCACCAATAATTGTTTCTACCCTCGTTTTTTCGCCGGTTACGGATGCCAGCACTCCTTGCTGGTTTGGGATAGCGTACTTTGTCCTTGTGCTGTTTGCTGCAGAGCTCTAACAGGACAGGCTACTGAGGCTAGTATTGTAGAAGACATTGCCGAGTGATATCTTTGTCGGACCTAGCTAGTTTTGACTTGAAACTGTCTTGTGCTGTCGCTATGGCGTCTCCCAAGGTAAAATCACTGACCAATAGCTTTTCAGACCTGTTGAGAATCGTTGACATTATGGTCCACATGGTCCACCAGTTGAGTCTGTAGTAGCTGCCTGCGCCTGATGTTGTTTTGACAGCTACCTGATCGAGATAGATAACAATTTGTACAAGGTCTTTTCATCTTTAAACACAGGCAGTTCACACACTTGGCCCTAGATCCATTACAGGAACAGCACTGAAGTAGAGCTGTCCTTAGAAGCATGGGTGGCGGCCATTATTATTATTATTATTATTATTATTATTATTATTATTATTATTATTATTAGTAACTAGTGGCCGTGATTTGGTAGTACAGTCAGTACTGGACATTAATGAATATCAAAGAGAAAGAGCACGGCAAAGACTTGCAAAGGGTATGAACATACACACATGTACATATACAAGTATACACTGTAACTTCAAGGACTTTCATAAAGCATTGCCCATTATACTGATAGTGTTCAGATACTATGGAGTGGTTGATGTGATATATTATGTGACCAATATAAACCAGTGGGTATAATAGTCCTGAGTCCTATATATGTATTTCTGTTTTATTGATAGCAATCTTGTGTCCTAACTGGTCTAGCTGGTTTATAGAACTAGTGTGACAAGTGTATTGTATTATGTTTTATTGATGCACTGATGCTAGCAAGAGTACATACCTAAAGGTACTATGTACACTTGATGCTAGTCAATCAAGTTATGACAATAATAATTATACTTATTTTAACATTGTCTGTTGAACTTTTGTTTTTAATTTCATTTTAGCAGGTCATCCTCCTTCAATTGAAGGTAAGAATGAATTAGAATTATTATTATTATCATTATTTGATTTTTTATTTTTACAGATATTTTGGACAAGAAGCCACAAAAGAGTGACCTCCTTAGATATTTCAAAAGTTCTGCTGCTCATTATTCAACTATTGGTACTGCACTTGATGTTCAAGTGGATGACTTGTTGCATAGTTCAGGGACTGCTACTCATAAGCTCATACTAGTGTTCCAGAGATGGATTGACTCCAATAAAGGAGTGACCTGGAGGAAAGTACTTCAAGTTTGTGAAGATTATCCAGACCAACTTGGAAGAGTAAAAGCTGAAGTGGAAGAATTCCTATCATCAGACAGAGCCAATCATAGTTATTAAGAATATTAAATACAATAAACTAATACTTTGTCACATTAGAAGCACAAAATTAATTTCAAGTAGCTAATAGATCTATCTAGTGTTTCTGTTTGTTTTTTGTGTGAATAAGGTTTACAATGTATCTCTCACATTCATTATTTTTTCAAAAGAACTTGAAGTAAAAAATAATGACAAAAGAGAGAGAACAAAAAGAAAAGAAATAGTACCATATCCATAATATCTATTAATGTTAAAGACATACGGTGTACATGTAACATAATGAAAGTGCATCAAATCCTCTAATGTACTTCACATCATGAGTGTGTGTGTGATGATAAGATACATGTACATGTATTGTTTATGTGTGGGTCGCCTGTTGCTGCTTCAATTGATCAACATGAGCCATTATCTATAGAAAGAGAGAGAGAGTTGAGATATTGTTTGTATAATTCAAAATTAGAAACATGTATGTTATACATTGTAGATAACTAAGGCTTCTAACTATCCCTGCAGTGGTCTCCACTATATAAACTTGCGGCGGTGCCTTTGATACACCCACACACTATAGTTCCAGTGTACATGTACTGTATGTGTCTTGGAAAGTACCTTTAAAGCTGGTCCCAGTTTAATATTCAAACACTTGACCATGGTGTCCTGACTCAGCAGTAGCAGTGCCTGCCCATCAATCTCCTGATCTTCAAGCAGTGAGAGGACCGGCTGACAATCTGGCTTAGACTCAAAGAACTTCTTAACGTCACCAATGGACCATTTACTGACATCCACTGGTAGATCTGAGAGAGAAGGGGAGGGGCAAGTAAAATACATGTACATGTACATATGGTAGGAGAGATTTGAGAGAAAAGAATTTTATTAAATCTATTTTTATCTATAAAAAACCTTTTTTCATTAGTTTTCTATTCTCATAATTTTTCGAATTTCTTTTTTTGGCTTTGGCCCCTGTTAAATCACTTTTTCTTTTTCTGCTCCCCTTCACTAATACACGGAGGCAAAAAATTAAATAGCAGCTGCTTCTATCACTCACATGCTACAGTACATGTACCATAAAATCTATGATACATTTTAAATTTCATTAATGATTTATATTGTATCGCTAGAAGATTTGGTGGAGTAAAAATTAGGCGAAATTGGTGAATAGAAATTAATTCGCCAAAATTTTAGTCTCCAATTTGACAGGTTCCATAGAAGGAAGCACAGAGTTAAAATTTACCCTAAATTTTAACCTCCAAACCTCTTTTAGAGTCAATTTACCAAATTTTTCTAGCTATACAGTATATAAGATTTTGTTCTTATTTTAAAATGCTATCACTACATGTCACACAACTATTATTAATAGAAACTGTATAAAGGTACTCTTGGCATTATTATTATTATTATTATTATTATTATTATTATTATTATTATTATTATTAATTGATGCGTACCATTAGGTCCTCTTCTTCTATTGCTGGCAGGTGCTCCACTTTTATTTGACGTTGTCTTAGCAACGCTAGTGGTGGGTATAGTCTTAGTAGATGAAGTGAGAGCTAAAAATAGAAAATTGAAATAATTAAAGATTTGTAAAAAAAATCCAATTTTGATCGGAATCCACTCAAACTTTCTACGCAACATCAGAACAAGTATATGAAAAAGTTATAAAAATGGAGAATTATCTCTTTTTCAATGCTGGTAAAATTTGACTTAGACTATGTACTACAGTACAGGGATTTTGACCCAATTTCGGAGCAACCTTAAAAATTCGTAAAAAATCTAAATTAGATTGGAATCAGCTCAAACTTTCTACGCAACATAAGTACATGTATATGCATCAGAAAATGTAATAAAAATGAAGAATTCTCTCCTTGACATTTTTGGTGAAATTTAGCTCAAGACCCTGTACTATAGTACAGTGACTTTTACCTGATTTTGGAGCAACTTTAAAATTCTTTAAAAATTTTTTAAATCTAATTTTTATCGGAATTAGCTCAAACTTTCTACGCAACATAAGTGCATGTATATGCATCAGAAAATGTTATAAAAATAAAGAATTTCTTAATTGACATTTTTGGAAAAATTTGGCCAGAGACCGTGTACTATAGTACAGGGATTTTGACCCAATTTTGGAGAAACTTAA